TTCTGCAAGGGATGAAATACATTTGTGCCATATAGCTCTTTCTTCTTTTTCTCTCTTTCATTTCATTTCATTTCTTTTCTTTTCTCTATTTTGCTTGCCACAAAAGTGGATGGATTAATATGTGTTGAAAGGGAGTGATTCATAAGTTTGTGAAGTCCTTTGCTAAGTCCTGCTTTCTCCTTAATCTTTACTATTCCTAAAATGAGGTATGGATAAGATTCAGCATAAGTATTGATTGCATCATGAGTTTTGAACATGCCAGTTGAATAGTTTCAGCCAAATTTGGAAAATGGTAGGTGAACTGCCACTCCTGTGCAGTCAATAGGTGTAACTATAGGCAGATTTGACCTTCCAGTTGCAGGTGAAAATACTGTATTTTACTGTGCAAACTATTCTATAAGTAATTTGAAAACTACGTATTGGCAATTTTTTGAAGATTCATTATGGCAGTGAGAGATAGTGTTCAAAATAAAGTACTTGTTTTGGGATGCATATAAACAGAGGGGTAGGTGGACGCTTTTTGTATTGCTGGCCTTCTCTAGGGGTACTGGAGATGGCTGGCATTGTACCAGCCTATGTCTGCATGTCTGGCTGCAGTCATGAAGCAGCTTGAGCATGCTGTGTTAGGGGATATAAAGAAGAAAATTGTTATGCAGGAAGTAACACGGGGAGAAGAATTTTGAGCCAACATTCAGATTATTTGTTTATTTATTTAATATAATGGCTAAACAAATTCATTCTTTGAAAGGCGAGAGACTGCTTTTGTTTGTAGTTCTGTGTGAAGACAAAAAGCCTGGTGTGCAGTATGTCATAATCTTTACAAATTCTCTATGGAAAAAGTAATAATAAGTAGTGTGATCAGAAACATCATAGTGGGGAGTGTTTGTAATTCACTTTGAAATGAGGGTTCTCTGCAGATAGCATTAGTTTTTAGAAATCTTGAGCAACCATGGTTATTGAATTCAGCTCGCCTCATTAGTCACACTTCTAGAACATATTTACTGAGGTTGACAAAGATAAGTGTTTTTCATTGTGGTTGAAATAGCATCATGAACTTACTACTCTTACACAACTCATTTTTGATTTGCAGATTGCAGCATGGAAATGTCTGGTCCTGTGTTGCCCCTAAAGTTTAGTTATTTTAAAGAGAGGCGATATAATGGGAGTAGGAGAACTTGTTTTGTCCAAGTTAGAACCAACCTGAAAATTGTATGCTCTAGATTTAGAACAAAGCTGAGACATTGGTGGGTCAAATTACATTTTCCAAGATGCAGTTGGAAATTCTCATAAATATTTCTTCATGAGATTTTTTTGTTTGTTTTTATTTCTAATCTTTATTTCATGGGTAGACCTAGAAACAAGGCAGGAATTGTTCCCAGACATGAATATTAGTAGGCTCAGCACAGGTTTTTATTTAGAACAGAAGAAAGGAAGTTTTAAAAATAATGGCGTAAATACAGACTTGGTAGTCCAAGTACAGACAGTCAAAAAGCCCAAGGTTGAATTGATTCAGTCTTTGCAGGTTAGGATAAGATGCAGAGATTAAACTGAAAAACAACTGGACACATGTTTACTTTTGATTACGAAAATGCAGCCACGTGTCTGCGGTGGCTCAGGCCAGAAGCTGGGGGGCAGTAGAGCATGACTGTCTGTCACGTAGCCAGCATGGGCTGTGTACTTGCTTCCTCTTCCTGCTGCCCCCGAGGTCTGTGGGATTTGCAGTCCAGAATCACAGCAGCAGGACTCTGCAGGGTTGCTCTTCACTTCCTCTTCCTGCTTCTTGCTTCCGGGTGCCTCTGGGATTTGTAGTCCACAGTCACAGCCAGCAGTAAGTTTAGCAGCAGGGCAGCTCTGTCCTTGGGGGAAGGTGGGTTTAACCTCCCTGTCTGGTCCCAGACCCCAGCCAGGAAGGGGTCTGAGACAGAAGTTTCATAAATTGGTTTGACCCAAATCAGTTAAGTCTGATACTACATTCAACTAGGTTTATCCTAAACCAGTTTCAGCCATTTTGAAACTGGTTTATGTGCACTGAGCTTCTGCTCTGTTACAGGTTTAGATCAGTTTCTGATCACTTAAAACAGTTTACGTGTAACTTCTATTCCTAGCCTTAGAGCACAGAGATCTGTGGCAGGAGGTTGCTTACGTAGCAAACATGCTCACAAACTGTGACAGAATATGTGACTCTCTTTACCTGCAGATATTTTGATTCTTTCTTATAGTCAGTAGATCACTGTTAAACAGCCAAATTTCCATGAATTGAAAATTGCAGTGAAACAAAGAATAACAACAAAAAATGGGTTTTTCTGTAAGAATCTAATCCTTTGAACTCTTATTCTTGTGCAAATTTTTACTCATTTTAGCAGCCCTATTGAAATAACTATCAACTTTCTATCCAATTGTTATTAATACAACGTTGCATACTTGTAAAAAAAATACCCATAAAATGAGCAAGCAAAAACAAACCTTCTAGCAGTATAGCAGAATGGTCTCAGGGCTTTGGAGATGTCTTAATCACTGAGGGCCCCTACTCTGGTAGCATATCCATCAAAACAATCTCACCCATTTATGCCAGACACATACTACTATTGAAATTATTAGGATTATGTATGTATCTAAAGATAGGCATGTGCTTATTTACTGTCTTTCTAAATGCAGGTTCTGCTGACCTGTTTTGAACACACCTTCACTGCCAACTAACCATTCTCAGACCTCTATAAAGACAAGCACCTAAACATAATTTCCTACAGTAAACAAGTACGCTGCTTGGCAAAGCCGCAAACACCTACCAAACCCTCCTATTCAAAATAAGCTAATGTGTAATAAATTGGTCTCTTCTATTCTGTATAGATCCTGGTAGTGCGCTCGTCAGCATAGCATCTGGGCAAGTTCCAGGAGTGCAAGAAGTAACATGAGTAACATTAGTCACATGTTATTTGTTTGCTTATCTTTTTCCCCTGGGGAGAATAGTGTGCAATGAGTGCACTGTTTTGGTAGATTATTTGTGTTTTGTTTTGTTGGGTTTTTTTGGTTGGTGGTTTGTTTGTTTTTATATATATGTTGCTATGTATTTATATTAGAGAAGGCAAGACCACAAATATCTTCACTCATAGAAGGCCACACAAATGGAGAGCTTGCTTTAGTGAAACTAGAAATAAGATGCATGAAACAAATCAGATTTTCTCAAACTGAGAGGGTCATTTCTTCTAGCTCATATTATCCAAAATATACCATTAAATGACAACTCTATTATCATTGTCTGACAAGAAGAAGGAGCAACAGATTATGCAATGGCCACACCTACATGAGATGCTGACTGTGCACTCGTTACTGCGGAGTCATTTAGTGCTTGTATAAACAAGTTACTGTGCAGTAGTGTTGCCAAACAGCTTTTTCCTATCACACGACGATACTGCGCAGTAGTCACAGGCTCTGTAGGTAAAATGACTGGCCAAGTGGCAGATCCTTGAGGTACCTTTGTTGAAGTCAGTGGAGTTGTACCAATTATTGAGCTGATGATTTTTAACCTTATTTTTTTAAGAAGGAGGAAGCATACTCTGCACCCTGAGATATAATTGCATTTTATAAACTATTGTGGAGGAATCAGTGAAATTTTCTCTCAGCAAACCACCCCTCCACAATTGTGTGGCAAACACAGCTTTTGTGTTCCTTGTGTTCCTTTTGTGTTTAAATTTAGCATTGTGCCCCCTGGTGGATTAATTTTGCGCACTCTTATAAAACGTCTTAATTAATTTCTGCTCTTTTTCTTGATATTTATAGAAGACTGGCTGTGTAGGCTGTGCAGTTTCACTGGAAAGAGAGTATCTGTTTTGATGCACGAGACATAGAGACAGATTAAATTTTACCAAGTGGCTTTATTTGATGCTACACCATTTTTTTCCCCATTTCACAGTCAACGTTTTTTCTGTTAAAATTTCTTCTTTTTCTGTGTGGCAGCATCAGTTTTAGAACCAGAGCATTTGTGTAGCTTCATTGCCTATTACTTTTATTTTAATCAAGTAATGGCCTCTGCAAATTATTATATTTAGCAGTAGAGCGACACGTTCTGAAATTGCTCTGACTTTAACAGTGTGCTGAGTCTGCACTCGATATTCAGGTCTACAGACAAACTGAAAATATCTGAATTTAGCTTTGTTAAAAATCAAAACAATTTTTGAAATCTTTTTGAAACATTTTATTGAAAGATAAACAATGGAAGTGCCTGTGATCTTCTGTATTTAATAAAACAGCCACCCAAGGCCAACTCTTGCTCCCATTGAAGTCTATAGGAATCTTCAACTTTTTTACTGTGGTGTCTTTTTCCTTGGCTTTTTGTAAGGAATCAAAGTGACATCACATCCTGTGACAGTGGCAACACGTAGTGGGTGCATGGGGGTACATGTGCACCCCCTGGAGCACCGGTGCTCCCCCTGACTGGTTGCATTCACCGCTTAGGCAGTGGGCAGGAGGGGGGGCAGACGGGGGCAGGCAGGGAGGGTGCCCCCCCTACAAGTGCTGGCTGGGGAGTGGAGCGCCAGAAGTGGCCACAGCGATCATCCGTCTTGTGATCAGCCGTGTGGGACCCCCCCCATCAGTGAGATTGGTCGTGGATCACTGACTGGTTGCTGGGGGGGAGGTGGGGGCAGCACGTGCCTCCCCCCAACTAAGGCGGCACCAATCACCCATGTCCTCTGAAATCATTTACTGGTAAGCCAAATGGAGAACTTGGGAGTGTTGGTTGTAGTCATGTTGGTCTAAGGACATAGGAAAACAAGGTTCTTTGGTTGGATGCGATATCTTTTATTAAATCAACTGAATAGTTGGAAAAATAGTTCTTTACAAACTTTCAGTCACAAGCACCCTTCTTCAAGCATAGGGAGAGTCTGCTGGTGTTTGTGTACCCTTTAGGGGCAAATAGAAGCTTTACTGCAGAACTGCTTCTTAAATGAGAGATATAAGATTGAATCTTTTAACATGTAACTTCTTTCTCAAGAGTTGTCTTTTTTCTCACCTACAGGAGCAGCTCAGAAAGGAGGAAGGAGAAATCAAGAGATGCAGCAAGGTGCAGAAGAAGCAAAGAAACAGAAGTATTCTATGAATTAGCTCATGAACTGCCCCTGCCGCACAATATTAGTTCACATCTGGATAAGGCATCCATAATGCGTCTGGCAATCAGTTTCTTGCGCACCCACAAACTCTTATCCTCAGGTAAGTCCTGTATAAGAAATGGGGTCAATGTAAATAGACACGAGAGTGGAAATAGCATACTTAATATCTTTTAATGCAATAACTTGAAGTAATAGTGGGATGTGCCAGAGTATGTTATGAGAACACACCTAGGTATACTGGATCATAACTCAGGGCAATATAGGAAGTTTATAGATCTTAGAAAAAATTGCACAGTTTTTATCGTCGTCAAAAGAATTATTGAACCTAAATTCGGTATAATTTTACATAGGGTAAGAAATACCTCTTAAAATGGTTAATTAAACTCAAATATTTTATATTTCAATATTTTAATCATAATTAAAATGTCTACATTATAAACTGCAGACAATTTCTGTGTTGAGAAGTCAATCTTCATTTGGCATGGAAAGAAAGTTTGCATAAGTGCATTTAGAAGTTTGCTCTGAAACTATGATTGTCCAAAAGCTTTGTTATAGGATTAATTGTATTACACACTGATTATAGTTGGCAAGTAGGATAATATTCAGGTGGACTTTATGCATGGTATGTTAAAATTCCCAAGGCCACAATTTTAATTCTGTTTAAAATAGAAACTATGTACTTAGTTCATATTGGAGCCATGTGAAAGTTCACATACATAGTGTGTTGGATTTCTTAGCCTGTGTAAACTATGGTAACATTTTGGAAATGTTATAATCTTCACCAGAATTTCTAAAAGTGTACTGCTCAGGGCTGTCAGAGCAGCTCTAGAAATTTATGATGCCAGCAATGTACAAAGTGAATGAAAGCAAATATAAGAGCAGTTTTCATTCTTCTTTATTCTGATTTGTGGCAGAGGCTACTCCATACATTTAGCATTATGAAACAAAACATTAAAGATGTGAAATGGTTTCACTTCTTGTTTGGAGGCAGGACAGTTTGAATATTACATTTAGTGGGATGTGAAGAAGGAACTATAACACTTGAAATCAAGGTTACTTATTTCTTTGGACTAAACAATTGTAGAACTGCATGAATAACTTAACAATTGATCTGAATCTTTACATATTTTCTATAATTATCAGATCTTGCAGGTCACAAGTCTTGAACTTTTTGTGATGACTTCCAAAGCACTTAAAATCCAAGGGTACATACAGAAGTTACATTTAGATAGACCTAACTACAATTAGGTTGATCTAAATGCCTAATTGTACAAGTTTCCATGGATGTTAAAAAATGCCAAAAATAGCTGGCCTGATCTAAGTTAGTTCACCTACAGAGGTGAACTAACTTAGATTGGGAACAGATTACCGCAATCTACCAAACACTTATATACATTTAGACTGAAGCCCAGAGGCTGCATTCTTTCTACCCCTGTGATGCCACTCCTTGACAGACAGTGTCCCCCTGTGGGAAAACTAATTTCTTTTACCCTAAAGATAACCATTCAGATAACATTATAAGGGTGTTTTTGGAAGTTACAATGAACTATTTTCCAGTTTTTTTTCTCATCATCACAAAAAGATACTTGGTACACCTGGCAATTAATAAGGCAAAGAACTCTTTTAAAAATGACTTAAGTCTAATTTCACGGTTGGCAAAGACATCAGAGAATACCATATTTCTTCTAGTGTCTTTATAGACATTAGCTAGAAGTTTTTTTGACTGTTATGAAAACTAATATAGGCATGATTTGTCTGTAATGTTGAATCCAAATTTGAAAAGGAGGTGGCAAATACATATTAGTTAATTTGTATTGGAAAACCATCCAGCAACTAAATGCACCTGCCAATGGCACATTAGTTACTAGTGGAACAACCTATATGTTAATATTCCGACTTCTTATTTTTCAAACCAGCTATAAATTTAACATTAAACCCAACAACAACTATTACATTTTTAATTTTTACTGTATGAAGTGCATTTTTAGACATTAAATGTATGCAGAATTGTCAAATAATTTCTTAATGCATTCATTTTTGGGTACCCAACTTGAGAAAACTTAAAGGGGCTAATTTGTAGAAAGGACTGATAATCTGCCCTCCAAGAATCAGAACCCATTAAGACACCTTAAACTGGACACAAAAATCAGTGGTCATATCTAAAAATCTAGGCCCTTTGCTGTGGTATTTTCAGTGAGTGCACCTATACAAGATGCCCACTGTGCGGTAACCTGATACAACTGCACAGTAGTATCATGTGGTAAAAACTGTGCTGAGATGTTACTATGCAGTAGCATTATGGTACTGTGCAGTAGCATCACTTAAAAGGTGTTTGCTGGTGCTACTGCACAGTAACTTCGGTTACTGCACTTTTATTTTGTACTTGTATTATGTATTATGAAGATGTGCCCAATATAAATGTATTTAGTCTGCTCACCTAAGAGTTAACATAGCTCTGAATATTGGAAACAATTTTACAAAGATTATTTGTTTTAGAATCCAGTAGTGTTAGTGATGTTAGTACATCAGATACTTTTTAAAGTCATTTTCTACAATAAAGGAAAACTTCCTTTCTACCAATATGCTTGTCATTAAGGGTAATGGCATACTGCATTAGAGTCAATGGAAAAATGGCTCCTAAGATGAAAACTCTGACTAATATCTTAATAATGTTGATCTTCAATACATTTGCATCAATTTTTAAATTATTTCTTGACGTGAATAAGCATGTGCTTCTCCAGGTTTTTCTACAATTATGGCTTTTATAAATAAAAATGTGTATGTCACAGTATCTTATTTACTCAAATTCAAGACACCTGGAATTTTAAGACAAACCATCCCCCCAATAATTAGATTCTAGACTGGAAAATTATAACAAATTTATACATTTTACATTTCTAGAATCTGATTATTAGAGAGTTGTCTTAAATTTGTCCTTCATCCGCTGCATTGAGAAAGCAGTGGCAGGGGTGGAGTGGTTGGGAAGGGTGGGGAGGGGCAAGTGGCAAGGAGGCAAATAGTGTAGAGAGCAGGCGGAGGCCCCTTGCCTCCATGTGCCTTACTCCCCTGGTATCTGTGTCCCAGTGGCTGCCCCTCCACCACTTACACCCCTGTTTCTACCTCCCTGCCACTTGCTCCCCTAGTTACCTGGCCACATGCCATTTCCCCAGCACTCTTTGCCTCCCCTTTCATCACTGTCCCTGGCTGATATGAGCTGAAGGGGAGTCCCAGAGCTGTTCCTGTTCCACTTCTGCTCTGCACTGCAGGGACCAACTGTGTGGGGAGCCCAGGACAGCCAGGGACAACATCAGAGGCACGCAGGTTCCTCCAGGGAGCAGACACTGGAAGGAGGAACCTGCGTGTTGTTGTTGCTGTCCCTGATTGAGCTGGTCTCCCTGCAGAGCTGTACCCTACAGCTCCCAGCTGCAATGGTCTGACTCCCAACTGATGCGGTCACAGGGGAGCAACAGCCCCTGAGCTGTTCCTGAGCCATGCTGCAAGGAGAAACTATGGCTGTATGTAGGTTCATCCTTCCCTGCCTAGTTCTCCTTCGCCGCTCCCACTTGTTTCTCCACTGCTGGCTGGGAGCAGGCTGGAAGGAGAAACCTTCACACAGGAGTGGCTCTGAGGCTTCCCCATGCCTGTGTCAGCTGGGAGCCAGACTGCTCTAGCTGGTGCTGTAGGAAATGGTTGTGCAGGGAGGCTGGCTCATCCAGGGACAGCAATAGTGGTGCCCAGATTCCTCCTTCCAGCATCTGCTTCCTGCCGGTGAAGATAATGGGGTAAGGGGAGCCAAGTAGGGAGCACATGCTGGAAGGTGCAGCCTGTGTGCTGCTGACACTGCCCCTGACTGACTTTGGCTCCCTGGACCACCAGTCCACACAGCTCCCAGCTGTTCTAAGACAAGGCTTTATTTTCCCCATGTTTCATGGGAAAAAAAACCTCATCTTGGAATTGAATAAATATGATATTAGCATTTAAGAATTTACCTAAAATGATTTTTGTCGCTGTAGACAGATGGGTAACTGGTAATATGGAGCCCTTTGCTCTATAATAGTGATGTAAACCAGGTAATATTTAAACAGTTTATTTGGATCAGTTAATAAAAATGCTAAATAAGAATTAGTTTCTAATTCATGGTACTTCCTCATCCAGTTATGAATGAGTTCATTTTTGCCAGTATGCTGTCTATGAAAGTCTATTAAATTTAATAAAAAAACTATAGCTCCGATACAGCTTCTGGCTCCAGCACGGGCAGGATTACTGTTAGTCATTTAAAAGTTCTGAAAAATATATTAAGCTAAATGGAAACTGGGTTTTATGAGAGATTGGACCACATTCTGCAGTAACTTATACCCGTCTAAATTAGTAGTAATTAATAAATGTAGTTAGATGCCCAGTTCTCATTGACTATCAATGACAGCTTGCTATCCAGTTATTCCAGGCACCTTGAAAATGCCAGCCAGATTGTGAATTTGGTGAGAGTTTGAGATCCAGTTTTCTGAATCACTCAGCACTCCCAATTTCCACCAAAATTCATGGGAATTAAAGAGGTCAGCCCCTGCAAACTATTAACTGGGGAACATGTTACACATGCTGTAATGTTGAAGTGGTTTTGTTTTGGTTTGTTTAGATGCCTGTACCTTTTGCTAAAAAAACAATTAAAGCTTGAATAATAATAACAGTGCTTAAGCAGGCAATACTTTTGTACTGGGCTGCCTTTTAAAGTATTTTTCAAATTGAATTACAAGCTAGTTCCACTGACATAATGTGTGTATATAAATGCAGCAAATATTATTGTAAAGTTATAATTAATTTAAAAATAAGTGCATCCATTTAAATCTAGTTTATATAAAATGTCTAACCTAAACAATCAAGGCTGTTCCCAAAATGACGAGATAATGTCCCAGATCCACAAAGGGACGGTTGCACAGTGATGCTCATCATGGCCATGCTTACACTGTAAGTACCCAGTTCTAGAACTGCAGTTTACAATCCTGAGAAAGGTGCCTACGTTCCAAATGCCGTGACTGAGGAGCATTACATGTCTAAGAATGGGATTCACAGTGTCCACCATGCTGAGTAGGGAGTGCGGGAGAA